ATTATAGTTCCTGAGAAATTGAATTTTAAAGAAATCGTATATAAATAAAAACTTTGAAACTTTATTACTACAAAATGAAGTTTTCAAAAGAAATTGCCAAATTAATAGTTAAATGTGTTAATAATGTCATTATTCCTGAATTAGTAATTTAATACTGGTCAGAAACATCTTAAAAAATGTTACATCAATAAGAATTTACGGTACTATTTTAATTTTTTTTAAAATTAAATCTAATGGATGGTGTTTTCATTTATATAAATATATATATTTGAGATTGTTTAAAAGTAAAAAATATAATATTTAAAAGCACAATATAAGTTTTTGTTTATTGAATTTTCTGGAAAGGGATGCGAGTGTACTCTTTTGACCTCTCCTTGTGACTGCCTATGATAATCAGTGTTTATTTAATTTTTTGCACATAATATTCACCACAACAGCTGATGATATTTATTAATGTGATTTACAATACAAATATGCAAAGTAAAAAAAAAACATTTTCACACATTCATTTGCAAACTATTAAAAAAACAATATGAAAGTAAACATTGAGGCCAATTTTATAAACATCTTGCAAAATAATTGCACATAGTAAATAACATAAAGCAAAGAAACTATACCATGGGAGAAACTTTTTATACCAAATTCTGTTTCACCTTTTTTGGTAAATATTTTAAAATTTGAACTATTTGAGAAAAGTGAATTCAGACAAGCCTAGAGTAAATCTTGAAGCCTTAAATGTAGAAAAAATGTTTTCTAAATCAGTAGTTCCCAAACGCTGTTCTGCATAGTTCATGGTTTTGTGGAAAGGTTACAGGGGCTCCGTGGGTTAGGATTTTTTACCAGTAATATTTTTTTAAACCTAGATTTGCAGATAACCAATAATCCAGAGTTTAATGTTACCTAGTGTTATTTTAATTAAAATCCTTGTGTAAAGATGCCACACACAAAAAAAGAAATAGCAAATTTAAAAATATACAGTTGAGTCTCGATAATTCGAGGTGGACGGGAGCAAGCCTACCTCGAACTTTCGAATACTTAATAAACGGGAACAAACCAGTTTTTAATTTTCGGTATTTAATTGAAAAATATATTATATTTAAAGAAAATTTAGTTACATAAGATGACCAGGGTACAGTTACCGCCTTAGACAAAGTTACAATGCTCATTATATTACTGCACCAGGTTAATTGCACTTTAAAATAATTGTCTTATGTTTTTTGTTTAAACACACTGTTCACATGTTTCAGTATTAAATTAGCAAATTTGTCATTCAACATTCAGTAGTAGTAATTGCCGTAAAACCAACCGTAGTAATAGTTCCACGCATTGTGTGTGCGTTGGTCATTGTTTTGGAGCAAGACTGATTTTTTCTTTCTTTCACTAGCTCAGATTTATGGGAAGCTTGAACAATCGATACTCTATGCATATATTTTTTCCATTTACTATATATATAACAAATTACAAAAAGGATATACATTTAGAAATTATGGAATCAGTATTTCCACTTGAATTTTGAATTCCAAATAAAATAAACAAATTCAAGAAAACAGAATTATTTTTTCTCTCACTGTTTATAACATTTATCTTTCAAAAACAATAATTCAGCTTATTTTTATTGAATTTAAACTTCTGTTATTAAAACATTGCCACTGCAGACTTGTGAATTCAACTGCCTGCTACAAAAACCTAAGTAATGTTTTTTTTTTTGTTAGGATATTTGCACCTGCTAAAAAATGTTTTTTTTTCTTTCTTTTTTTTCAAGTTTTTGCCATAAAAAAATTAAATCTTTTAGGGTTTCACAGGTAAAAAAATTGGGAGTGGCAGTTCTAAATATTAAAATGCCAATTAATTATTGCACAATTACTTATTCACAGTGCAATATTTCCATAGTTTTATTGGCATTTTGAGGTTTTGAAAACCTTTTTCAGTATAAGACACATCTATGTTTACTCTAGGTTCACCAGTACTTACTTTTTCTATACATTAAATTAAGTAGAAGAGATAATTTGCCATGAAAAATTTCTCTTTTGGTATAGCATCTTTTTAAGAGCTATAATGTATTATATCTTAGCATAAAAAAACATACATATCAACTTCTCTATTGATTTACTCAAAGGAGATTATGGAAATTTTACTTTTTGCAGATCAAAAAACCTTATCATAAAAAATAAAAAAAGCATGAATAATATAATTTTGATTACATTATTCATCCATTCTCAGATTTACTTGTTAATCAAAATTATATTTTAGGAAATTTTCAGATCTTAGTAAAGAAAAGAACACTTTAGAAAAGTTGACAGCTAAGCAATATTGTTACAGATAAAAATAATCTTCGTACATATTATATATTCTTCATAAAGAAAACAGCAAACATATAAACTTAACAACAAATAATAATACACTAAACATAGCTACAAAAATATTTTAAACATTAACATTTAAAGTTTATGAAACATGTAAAAGTTTACAAATATGTATAACTGATATTGAAATATTTAATGTATAAGTTATTTGCACAATTCAACACAAAATGAAAAAAAATTTTTTTTCAACAAAATAAAAATAAAACTACTCTAAGGTAAAATAGAATAAATGCACAGTTCATAAAAATAACAATTTTATAAGTGGCGTAGAAAGAAAAAATTAAAAAAAAAACAAAATTGGGAATATCATAAAAACATCCATAATTATAAACACATTTTACAATACTCCTTCTTTCTAAGCCCCTTTATATTTTTTTTGGGAAATTTCAAAACATACATTGACACACATACATTTTAAGAAGATAAAAATGAAGTTAAATATTTATAAGTTTATTTAAACAATCTGCTACCATTCAGTTTCTGTTACAGTTTTATTCTGCTGCAAATTAGTATAATATTTTGCAGAACTATTATGTATAAAAATAATAAATTTTTTTATTAAATAAGAAATAAATTTTTAAAGCAATATAATTTAGTTCACAAACTTTTTTTTCAGAAAACAAATATTGAAGTCCTTTAAAATGCTCTTAAATCTAGGCAAGCTAACATCAAATTTTATTAATTCGCTTAGAGATTAAATTTCGTTATAAGTTACTGTTCTTTATTCATATACAAACTAAAATCTTTTTCTTATTTTAAAGTTTCCACAAGTAACAAATTAGATATTTCTGTACATAGGAACTTTCAATAAAATTTATTTCTCTTAAGCCAACTGATAAAGGTTTCGAAGTATAGAAACTGAATATTACCAAAAATTGTAATTCACAATTTATCATATTAGTTGCAAATAAAAAAAATCAATGAGTTAATAAATTTTTTTAAACTAATGTTTATTAAGTTGTTTTTATGTTATGTTCATCAATGGTGCCCTTTATTCTGGCATCGAATAGCCATGTAGCTGATGGATCTTGCGTTTTTACTGGCTTATCAATTTTTTTTAATTTCCACAGAAATCCATGTATCTTTAGATTCAATGAAGTTGAATGAAAAACTGTTTTACAGTTTCAGGAAAGAGGCATTTGTAACACATAAAAAAAGACCCCTCACATTTGTTCTGCCCAGTTTCAATGATGCAACCAATTACTCCAGCAAAATAACAACATTCTTCTTTTTGCACGAATTAAGAGAGGGAGTAGTAGATTTCCAAATTTATTTGTTTTTGAAATGAATCCCAGAATACAGATATTTCTTTAATAAGTTTCGTAGGTATGTCCAAACACATAGTGCATGGATGGAAAGTGCTATCATTACATATTAAAAGATAGTGGTAGGGTGACAACAAAGCACTTGAATATGGCATTGCCACATTAATTGCATCGGATATTATAAGCCTGATAAAAGTCAGAAGGGAAGTTCCTTAAAAACATTGTTCCAGGCACTTTTTAAAGTGGATTAATTATCTGGAATTTTCATTAACCGGATTAATTTCAGTCCCGACTTGTCGAGATAATTAGCACTCAACTGTATATGAATAATAAAAAAGATTTTATAGTAATCCACAGATAAAGATTGGATCTAATGTACAATTTAAGATTGTACATTCGATATTTACTCAAGAGCAATACATGTTCCAGATAACACAATCAAAGAGTGCTAGGATTTATGCCCGAAGAAAAACTAAAAGGGAGGAGAAAGAAACAAGAAAGGTCACTATGAAAGAGCCTAGAAAAAGTAGTCAAATGCACAAGAGCCTGGTGAATAAACCCCATTTTTTATAAAAAAAATTTAAATTTCTCAGTGAATAATTTTAAATTTTTTGAAACTTCAAGAATTTCTTTATTAAAAGGAAAAAAAAAACTTCAGATGAATTGTAGAAACCTTTAATATCTCACTTCTTCAAGTAAGCTCTTCCTTATATTTGATCACCAAATTTAACAGCACAATTTATTTCAGCACAAATGTTTCAGCTCACTATGGTTAAAACGAAACAAAAGTAAACTGCTCAGTTATGAAGGTGCTTAGGGTCTTGTTAAACATGTTTTAGTGCTGTGTTTCACTTATTTGAAGCAAACCCCTTAAGAGAAATTATTAAAGAACAATGCTGCAAAAAAAAAAAAAAATATTATATTCAAGTCTAACAATGCTTTATCATATTTGCCACTATACCTCATAGGACTTCATAATATCCCACAAACAGGGCTTACATTTTGTCTAGAAAAAAATAATTTTTTCCAGAACCCAGGAAGACATTGGACGAAATGGAAGAAACCAAAAATTACAAATATATTGTTTTGCAATAAATTTTACAAGAACAGCTGAAATAAACAAATTAAATTGAATATAGTAAAAAAAAGTTAATTTTTATCGTTTTAAAAAACAGCTAATTTCATATTTTTTATAGTTTTGCAAAGAGCTTCAAAATCAATACATCATAGTATTTAAGAGTTGATTAAAATATTTATGCTTAACAGAATTATATTATAAAACAAACTAGGTTTTATAATACATTACGTAAAATAGCAATAAAACACAATTTTTTTAATTTCTTAAAATAATTCAGTAATTTTATTTACTTCCAACTGTTGCTTTTTGGTTTTCACATATTTAAAAATGGTGTATTATATAGCTTGAAAATTATTATTTAAACTAGATTGTAATCAATATTTGATAATTCTTTTTGAAATTTTTTTTCTATTCCTTAAACTTAGGTTAGGAAAAATAACCTATTTTGTCCAAAATGATTTTTGTTAGTTTTTTTTCCCCACTGCCATCCCTGCCTCCAAACAATGAAAAACAGAATTTCTTCCAAATTAACTTATTTACAAAAATCTTGAGCTAATAAAGCTCAAAAGTTAACTTTATATTAAAAAACCCTCAATTTATTTTATATGCACCATAACATCAATGTATCATATTTGCTACAGATTACTACATATAACCATCACAAACTGTATCACAAAAGAGAGAAGATAAGAACTCCCAATCAACAGTACCATCAGAGTTTAAAAGATAAACAATGAAATAGCGTTCGCATAGTAGATATTCATTGTGTTAAACAATTGACATCAACTTCACATCATTACTTAATCCAGTTGCAGCATTATATATTTAAGTTACGAAACAACAAAAAGATTCATATAAAAACATCAACAGATAAAAGATTTTTTACAAATATAAGATGCTTGAAAGTTGACAAGAACAATTTCACTGGACAAAATAGCAAATTATATTCAAATACAAAAACTTTGAGAAAAATATTAGACTTAAACACAAATTAATCTTTTTTTCGATTAATAAAACTTCATTTATAATGTTGCACAGTGTTCATCTATTTTCTTTTAGTGTTCATCTATCAATTTCTGTTTTTCTTCTTCTGGATTTCAACAAAATGCAATTTTGCCCATCGAACTAGAGCTCCATCGACTTCCGAATAAATCAAACATTAACGTGTCATATTATAAGAGTTATTCACTGTCACCGTTTAGGAATCTTTTCTTACACAAATATGGTCCATAATCAACATTTTTTTGCAACGTTTAATCCGAATAGTTAAGAATATATTAAAATTTAGTTACGAAAGTTTTCTTTCTTCATTCTGACTCACTAGATAAAATTCGCTAATCTAAATTAAGCTCAAAGCACATTCTCCATACAAACCTAAAAATAATCGAAAAAAAAAACAATAATTAGAACATAGTTTTTAAAAAATTGATTTCAGTTTGAAATTTTGTAACATAGATTGAATGCATTACAATCACATAAGGCAGTAAAATGCAAATAAAAGTACAAATACAGTATACATAATAATTAACAGCATAATTAATGCTTGCCAGTTTAAAATCCATTTGGCACCTTACAACTGTAACTGACAAGAACAGATTATGCCACAGAAATTTTCCAAAACTTTGTTAAAACTACAAAGCTGATAACAGCGAGCGATAATCTGACATAGGTACCCATTTGTTATAACTACAATTGCCAAGACATCTAACTGCCTTTGTCATCGTTTTTTTTATTTCCAAGAATACAATAAATAAATAAAATACAATGAACTACTCTCGAGTGGATATAAATTGTAATTTTTAATATAGGTTCCTTCTGTGACTTTTTTTCTTTTCGTTCTTTAAATTTAGCTCATTGCCTAGAATTTCTCAAACCTTGAAGGTCTTTTTTGATCCATTAGAAAATCTTTAGTTTTTTTACTTTTTTCCTTTCTATTACCCGAATAAAACCTCCAATAGCAATGAAATTAGACAGAAAAAAAATATATTGCGAGTAGGACTGGGCTATAAATCGATGTATCGAGACATATCGATTTAACGCATATATCGGCAAGACGATACAGCGACCTTCATTCAAGGCAATGCATAAGAAATCTGATTTAAGCCGTGGAGTAAAGACAACGAGCGCAAAACGATATAGCGATATAAGACACGCAAGGAAATAAGATAACAAGATAAGACTCTTCTCTGACGTTCCGATGTCGACTTGCGCTGTGAAAGACGATGTTCTTTCGTTATGTTGAAATGGCCTTGAATGGTGAGCTGTAGAATCAGAATCGGAGTTTGAGAACACATATCGTTATATCGCATGTTCCATTTCGCACCTCTTAGCTTTTTTTTTCTTTGTCGCGACTTTTCTTGTAGATTATTTTCAGTGGGATTAACTTCGTGATCGCCGATGTTACCTTGTTCTGAAGGCAATCTATTATTGAAAAGAATATATAAAGAAGAGTTTCTTCATTAATTAGATAAGTTTTTT